CAAAAAAAAAAAAAAAAAAAAAAAAATCGAGTCCCAAAATCCAATGCAGAGATTTTGAGTTTATACTGATCTTCTTTCACTAATAGTCAAGAGTTATGTTTTCATGCTTCTTATATCTTTTTGCATATTCATGAGAGCCAAGAGTGCTCTCACAAAGTGATCCCAGTGCCTTCACGATCCAGCCTAGAGGGAGACTGAGGCCCAGAGAGGATGACTACTTGCCCAGAGTAAGGTAGTGAAATGGAGAGCGTAAAAAATGACCAGACCTGGTTTTTTTCCAACTGGACTGCACTATATAATGGAAAGGACAAGAGATGAATTTTCTGCTAAAGGCCAGGAAATGCAGTTAATAGTGCGGAGTTAAATAGAGAAATGCAATTCTCACCAGTCTCCGCCCAGGAATCTTTGGAGGAAGACAATTTGGCCCCATCTTACTGTGTAAGGCTTTGTAATATAGGTCCGAAGCCTCTGTGTAAGGCTTTCTCAGCAGAGAAAGCTCTTTACAGACAGTGTGGAATCACCCAGAGTGGCTCTAACTGATGGGCTAAGGGAAAATCCAGGAAGGACCCCTGGCTACAGAGGTGACGTGACGGTCACGACTCAGGATGGAACACAGCCCTGCTCATAGGAATGGGTTGGGGAAAACACTCTTAGGAAGCCAGGAGGCTGGAAGGCTCTGGTGTGGGGCTGTGTACGCTCTGGGTGTCCTGTCTGAGACCTCTCCCAGGGAATGTGTTACTAAGAATCCCAGCCCTGGCTTATCCCTCCTGAGGAGAGTTAATAAAATAGAAATTTGGCTCATGCCAAGAGCCCCTGGCAGTTTAGCAAATGCTCCCTGCCCAGTGTCCTGGATTCGAGGCTAATTTGTCCCTACCCCGAATCAGTTGCTTTCCTTGCCAGTCTCTTCCCAGCTGCAGCTGGGCACAGAACCATCCTCCACTCTCAGCCTTGGGCTGCGAGTGCATTAGCTACCTGGAGGAATCCAGCTAGTTGGCGGCTTTACCAAAGCTGGGGCTACAGGGAAAGCTGAGCTGGAAAGGATCCTCCGGCGAAAAGAGCCGGATGAAGGCAGGCAGTGGAGCACTGCAGCTCTATAAAGGGGAGTCAGGACATGGGGAGGGGCTGGCAGAGCCTTGTGGAAAAGAGATGGCAGAAGAGGGAAAGGGACAGGAGGGGGATTAAACAGGAGAGGGGCTGCACCACACCCCCTGACTCCAGCTTCTGAGGCTATGAGAACCCCTGCTATGTTAAAATCTAAGCGATCTCATTAGGCCCGGCATTGGACATGTTTATGTCCTGACCAAAAGCCTTTATTATTATTCAAAATGTTTGGTCTTCTCTGGCCCTTATGAGGTAGGCTGAGTGTGCCATGTGGCGGCAGCAGTTCTTTGGGCAATTGCTTGACTGGGCTGGCTGCGGTGGGACAGATGAATGTTACACAGTGCAGAAGATAAAAACACCTCCGGGGGACTGCTCCCTGCCCCCAACCAGCTTGATGCAGGGCCCTCCTTCAGCCTACAAACCTTGTTCCCAGAAGCTCACTGCACATTCAGCTCCTGCTGGCCTGGAAGCCTCTTTTGTCCAACCCTGAGCCTCCTGCCTCCCCACTGAGTCCAGTGTGGGCTTGCAGGTGGAAAAGGCATCAAGAGATAAGTGTGGCCCCTATTGCCAGGGCTCTTCCTGAGATGTGCAGTTTTTTATAAGTGACCCTGATATCCTTTCTAGACCTTCTACCTGTTTCTCCACTGATGCAAGTCTCCCTTTACTTTGTCAAAACAAAGTACAAACATTTCCAAACCACATATATCTCCCAGGGACCAAACTTTATTAATAAAAGAAATAATAATAATAGCGGTTACAATTTATTGAAGGTTTACTATGTGCTAGGGACGATGTAAATCCATCACTTTACCTAATACCTATAAGAAACTGGGCTAAGCAGCTTGCCCAAGGTCAGTTGGCTGATGGCACTTGGATGAGAATTCAGGTCTGATTTCAAAGCCCTTGCTATTAACCACTTATATTTTATCCTGAAAAAAGAATGAAACTCTGAATTTAAAATAACAACTTCTTTCAAAGCTCCTACCACACTCACTGTATGGTAATTGCCAAGATTGTTTGTCTTTCCTCCACTAAAGTAAAAGCTCCTCCAGGGCACTAACATGCCAGGGGTATGATCTCATTTGCACCTCATAGTGCTGTAAGGAAGGTAATATCAGCTCCATTTTACATCTGAGGAAAGAGAAACTTAGAAGGGTTACTCACCCATGTCACACAGCTGGAAAAGGGTGAGCTGGAACATGAGCTCAGACAGTCCAACTCCAGAGCCTGAGGGCTTAACCATAGAACTACATTGCCTCCCCAATCATGGAAGAAATGAGTGAACTAACGGACGACAGGGGGCACATTTCTTGTACCCCTGAAATTACAACTCAGGTGGGAGAGAAGGCTCTCACTCCTCTTCTATTGCAAATAGAGAGGAGGAAGAGAGAGAGAAAGACCTGTGGCAAAGGTTTGGGCCTGGCTAAGGGGTTCAAAGGTGAAGCAATTCATTAAATTGCATTTATAAAATGGTTATTAAAAGGCATGATACTATTTACACCCCTAGGTTTGGGCTGGGAAAGGAAAGCTGAGGGGAAAATTACTGAACTACTTTCGTAGTTTCTCAGCTGTGAGAAATCAGTTCACTAGAGGAAGATCACACATTATTTCAAAGAAAAAACTTAGCCCCTAGATCCCAGCAGGCTAGGAAGTTGCTTCCTAGAAGAGACCCAGCCTGCCAGGCCCTCGGTCTTACTTGGACCACCGCTTGTTCTTGACAGCTGGGAGCTCCCCCCAGGCCTTCTTTGCCACCCATTTCATCTCCTTCCCCTCCCATTTGTCCTCTAAGATCTCAACTCCCCCAACCCACCATCCCTCCCCAACGCACATATCCTCCTCACCTGGATGTTCCTTTTGATGATGTCCCTAGTCAGCTGTACCTTGCCTGTGCTGGGGTCCACCCCAGCCAGTGGCACCATGACCTCCCCAATCACGTCGTCCCGAGAGAAGCGGTCAAAGCTGAGAACGAGAAAGTGCAGCACCAGGTCCTGGAGCTGGCTGTAGGGGATGCCGTAGAAGGTGAAGGTCTCGTCAAACACAGGGTCTAGGGTCTTCCGCAGCACCCTGGTCTTCACCCGGTGCCGCTTGTCGGGAAGGATGGTCATTTTGATGTAGGGGTCAGAGCCCTGGGTCTGGTCATCCATCACGGGCAGCCCATGGGCCTCCTGGATTGTCACCACCAGGGCTTTTTTGGGGAAGTTATAGTCCACTGAGAAGGTGAGGGATCCCAGCATGACGTCCTCCTCTGGAGATGATGGAGAAGTAGTTTTGCTCTCCCCAGGGGTTAGGCTTGCAATGGGGCTTCTCAGCTCTTCCCCATAGTTCACTTTGATGGGTAACTGGTCTATACAAGACCCAGAGCTAGGTGCCCTGGGACTCTTGTCTCGGCCCAGCAGGCCAGCCTCTGCTGCGTCCACCAACAGGTTCCCATGTCCACCTTCCCTCCCAGGGCCATCTTTGTCTCTTCGCACTTTGATGATTTTCTTCTTGTTGCTGAGGGTCTCTGGGTATATACTGATGCCTTTGAGCATATGAATAAACTTGTATGGTGGGGTCTTGTGCTTCTTCTCTGCTTGCTGGTGGCAGCATGTCCAGACAAAGACGGTCACCGAGATGGACACCACCAGTAGAGAAGCCCCAATAAGGCCTGCCACCACTGGCGATACATCTGAAGGTGGAGACCAGAGATGCGATTATTATGTCCTTGCCAGGCATTGCGCTAAAGCTCTCTCTCTCTAAATGAAAGAACTCATTAAATAGGTACCATTAATATACTCACTTTACCATTGGGAAACCTGTGGACTCAAATCTGCCCTAGGCCAAGTGTAGCAAATGGCAGTGATGGGATTTTAACCCTGCTTTGCCTGATACCAAAGTGTTGCTGCATTATGGATAATCAGGACAGTAAAAGATCTGGAAACCATAGCTAGTGAAGGAAAATGGAAGGAACTGAAGGAGCTGAGGGGTCTAGGAATAATAACTTTCTTCAATTATTGAAGGCACTGTGATGGAAGAAGGTGTGATTTGACTTTACTTTGGAGGGCAAGTCCAGTACCAGCGCACACAGGCTACAGGAGGACAGATTTGACTCAATGAAAGGAGTCAAATTATTACTAGAACTGCCTCACAATGGCCCAGATTGCTTCATAAAGCAGTGAATCTACAACTGAAAACTTTTGGAGGCTGAATCGCCATTGTCAGGGATATTCTAAAAGGGATTTCTTCCACGGAGATTGCGTTAAATCTCTCTGAAGTTTTTCCTACTTCAAACGTCCCATGGTTCTATGAAAGCTGGGACCAGGTAAGAAAAGAAGGGGTCAACCCTGGCCGTGTAGCTCAGTTGGTTAGGGTGTCGTCCCGATACACCAAGGTTGTGGGTTTGATCCCTGGTCAGGGCACATACAGGAAGCAACCAGTGAGTGCAGAAATAAGTGGAGCAGCAAAATTGATGTTTCTCTCTCTCTCTCTTCTTCTCTCTCAAATCAATAAAAATAAATTTTTTTAAAGAAAAAGAGGGGCTACATTTTAAAATAATATAGATGAGGAATAAGGCCACTAACAAAATAAATCAAGGCGACCGTGTCCATACTGAATAATAGCAGCATTTATTCTCAGAGCAGTAAGTGAAATAATAGTTCTTACGGAGTTTTCACAAAATGGGGGCAGCCTGTGTTCAGCTCATTGAGAGCAAGCAAAAGTAACGTCCTGCTCACTTTTGAATGTCTAAGTCTCTTGCATCTAATACAAGTTCAGTGAATACTTATTTGAACAATTGATTGGTTTCAACTGTCAATCAAAATAAGCTGAAAAAATGGCTCTCTACTCACCAATCAGGGACTCTCCTGAAAATTGCTTGCTACTCATTAGTGAAACTGAACATTGATTGTCTCTGTGAGAAGAGGAAAGCAGGGAACCACCAAGACAGGTATATTTTTGAGAATGATTTGAAAGAGAGATCTAAAGGGCCATGTTGGGAGACATCTGGGTGACCCTTTTGGCTCTACCATAAATTTACTCTGTGATCTTGAGGGAACCCACTGCTGCTTACCATGCCTCAACATTTACTATTAGAAAATGCAGGCGGTGTGGGTAAGAGAGAAGATGAAGGATTCTTATCTTTTGGGAGGACAGAGAAGGAAGAGAAACAAAGTAATCCATTTATGAATCACCTAGGTGCTTTTCTCCACCTTATTTCCCACCTTTGCCCTGCTTTCTTCTTCACTGGGTATTTATTAACCTCTGCCTCTCCCCCCCATATTCAAGGCAGTTAACTAGAAAAATCAGAGATGTTGAAACTCAGAACCCTCTGTCTAACTTTAGTCAAAAGGTTGGTGAGAAAAGGATGTTGGAACTAATATCTGAAATGAGTGTTTTATAGTAATTGTAAATTGCAGTGACCCATGCTGCTTGCTCCTTCTGTCCTCCAAGGTCATGGATAATTGAATGTTGGCTTGGTGTATCTCCCAAGGACTAAGGCATTTGAAATGCAGTACTCTATGAGACATGAAAAAGTCAGAAGTAACAGTTCTCTACGTAGGAAACCCTCTGTAAGGGTTGAAAGACCTGCAAGACACATCTGGGCTATGCTCAACTCTGTCAGTCCCTGGTCAGATCTGCTTAGTGACCTCTTTTACTAAAACAGCTTTTCCCTGTCAAGTAGACCAGTGTGATACAGAAATGAGAATAAACTTCAGCATCAACTGGACATTGGCACTGCCCTCACTAGTTTGTGTAACTTTTATCTACTTTATCTCCCTGAGCCTCAGTTTCCTTATCTGGAAAATATATATAATAATTCCTACACCAGAGGGTATTTGTAAGGATTAAATAAAATGTAGTATGTAAAAGGCTGATAAAATTTCTTTTCTCTTTTCCACTAATATTCCTTCTAAAGGAAATCACTACATTATACTCCACACCATCTCATTTTCCAAGGAATCGGGAACTGCAGTTAGAAAAAAGAGTATGTTGAAAAGAAGGCATAAGAAGAAAAAGAAAGAGCAGAAGAAAATCATAGGGTGCTCATGCAATCATCAAAGGGACATCTATTTTGGAAATTTAGGACTCAAAGAATAGCTATGCAGAAGGTGAAGTGGAAGAAAAAAATATCAAGATTTAGATTTGGGAATCAGTGGGAACCGTAGTTAATGGGTGTGATCTGTTGTCTGGGTACTTTCCCTGATCCTATGTCTTCTGATATTGAGAGAATGGAGTACATTGATTTCTGCTCATTCCCATAAACCTCTTACTGGGGAGAAAAGCCATTTCCTAGTTGGATTGTGGCCCCACCCTAAACATTGGATGCTCAAACCTTCTGGATTGTCTGAGGGTTAGGACCTCTTAAGGAATATGAAGGAAGCCTAGACTGACAGCAAGTCTCACTGGCTTCTACGATCCAAACTGGGGTAAGCAGAACTGAGGGAGAAGCAGGGCAATTCTTTTTTTTTAATTTTTGCACCAGCAAAGCACAGCACAGGTAGTCTGTTACCCTAGTATATTTTGCAGGAATTCCCTAGGAGGAAAAAGCATCCTTCTTGAGCTTCTATTTTCCGTCTTTCCTATTTTCCACTCCACTCTCTGCTCCAAGTAATGTAACAGATCTTGGAGCCTCGCCGAGATGACGTAATGCTTTCTCTGGTACACAAAGCGGCCTCCCCCGGGCTTGGCCTCTCTCGCCCCTCCCCCTCCGGCCTGGATCGGGCCCCCACCAGCTCCACATCAGCGCAGACGAGTCCCCCTGTTTGAAAAGCCAGCCCAGGGAACGCGGAACAAAAGGCCTGGGAGCAAGCGCCTAGGCGCTGCCAGGAGGCCCAGAAATAGACATCACGTCATCCCCTAGCCCAGCAGCACCAAGCGCCATTTGGTAGCATCGGACGGACCCCACCATTACGATGCAGAATAGAACTTGCGGGGCTCACGTTTCCTCCTAGCTCCAGCATCCAGCTGACCGGCTTAAGGAGTGGCTTCCTTTTTGCTCCCCACCCCCGCACCTCTCTCCCCAGAGGCCGCTGCCTCCCTGGCTGCCAGCCACACAGCCCACAGTCTCCAAACTGCCATCTTGGTGCCCCATCCCCCTTGCCACCTCCCTCCCCCGCAGCCCTGAGGAGTAGGAGGGGGAGGAAGGGGCACCGCCCTGCGTGCCCCAAGGGGGAGGGCTCGGCCTACTCCACCTCTCCTCCCCCAGAAGGAGGGGTTCACATCCTCCGCAAGCTCGCCGTTTCTCACCTCCAGCGGTGCTGACGATGCACCACACAAGGTTTTAGCATCCTGGACCTCCCAGCCCGTGTGTCTCTAGCCTTCCCAGTCTCTGCAGCTTAAGTTCAGGCTCTGTCCACTACCCGGTACCCACCACCCCAGGCCCGATTCTAGCGGGGCTGCCACTTAAAGACCCTGGTCTGGGCTTCATTCCCTGTGCAGCCTCTGGGTTCCCCTAGCTTTAGCAACGTTTTCAACTACCGCAGGCTTAGTTTGACGGACTGTACTTACCAACGGCAGGTCGGATATTGATGAACTCGTCCATGTCGTAATCAGAGGCTATTGCTATAAATGCTTTTTCAATGGCCAGACAATTCTGGGGACCCCGAACCAGAACCGAAGCTGCCGCTGTACAGCGCTAGGTCAGGGGAGGGGGAAGGTATCTGGCGGATGTCTCCTGCGACGGTCTGGTCCCTGGTTGCCAGCTGCGGTCGCCTCTTAAGATGCTCCAGGGATGCTCTGAGCTAAGGATGCAGGTGCAGCCAGACTGGTCCTGATGCGAGGGAGGCCCCGCCTTCTTCCGAGCGGCCCTCGGCAGGAGACTCCGCCTCTGCCCGAAGAGTTCCGGAAGGCAGTCCCCGCCCCTTTCCGGAAGACCTCTGGGAGGCTCCCCATCGCCGGGATTTCCCGAGAATGAGACCCCGCCCACTGGCGGGCTGTTTGTCTAAAGGAGAAAACCCAGGATGGAGTAAGAAGTGTAGGTATATTATCATATGAGAAGCTATAGATCCTGTGATTCGGGTTCCCTGGGCTTAATATAGCAGCAGAATATTCTGGGTGAGAGGGGGCCTAGGATTTTGGAAAAACAAAATTCTATACTGCCTGCATTTCAGTATCAATTTGCCGTTATTGTTATGCATTTCTGAGCCCATTAAAGGTTATTGTGGAAACTTTTTTTTTTAAAACCTCACCCCGAGGGTATTTTTCCATTGATTTTCAGAGAGAGTGGAAGGGGGAGAGTGAGAAACATCAATGTGAGAGAGACACATTGACTGGTTGTCTTCTGCATGTGCCCTGACCTGCGCCCCATATGGAGCCTGCAACCTACGTGCATGCCCTTAGCCAGAATTGAACCTGGGACCCTTCAGTCCTCAGGCCAAGGTTCTAACCACTGAGCCAAACCGGACAGGATGGAAACTTTGTTTTTTTAATTTTTTTTCTTTTAATCCTCATCTGAGGATATTTTTCCCCATTGCTTTTCAGATAGAATGGAAGCGAGAGAGAGAAAGAGAGAGAGAGAGGGAAAAACATCAATGTGAAAGAGACACATTGACCGGTTGCCTCGTGCATGCACCCTGACCAGGGCCAGGGATCAAGCCTGCAAACAATGTGCCCTTGGTTGGAATAGAACTGGGACCCTTCTGTCTGCTGGCTGACGCTCTGACCACTGAGCCAAACCAGCTAGGTATGGGAACTTTCTTAAACTTCAGAACTCTATAACTCTAATTAAAGATCCAACCTTGTGTTGGTTGTGTGACTGAAAATTTACTTATATTTTAATTATACAAGTAAAATGGATGAATTTTGTGGTGTGTAAATTAAAGCTGTTTTTATAAAAAGACTAATGAAGAATGCCAAAGTTAATCAGTGCTGCATATTTGTTTTCTAAAAGTGTCAAATGCTTAGGCTGCTTAAGAGAGAGCATACGCAAACCAACAGATGACCAGACAGGTTCTGATATTTGAAACCCTGTGAGCAACAAAACTTTTCCTTCCAAAATGCAAGATAAGACTGAAAGACAGTGCCCCAGGGAAGTACTCATATTCTGCAGGTTCAAAAGCCGGGCACAAATGAAACCCCAAGTTTCTAGAGACTTCCTTGGCATTTGGGAGTGTTAGGGTGATCCAGATTAGAGTGAGATTGCAGTTATGTCCATGACAGCATCAATTTCATTCTTCGTTTTGGCTGTAGATACTTCATCCTATTGGAGTTTGTTTACAGACAAGATCAGGTCAAATAGATTCTTTAAAGGCATAAATATTTGTTGGCAGTTCACTTGTAAAATGAGAGAGTTGAATGTATTTTTCCAGCTTTAACATTCTCTCCTTCTAGAAAAGTGGAAAGAACATGGTTCGAGGAGTCATTCATTTATTCAAAACACAGGTATTGAATCAACTATGCTTTCTGGACATTGGATCAATGCATTAGAGGCTAGAGTTAAGGATACCTTATTCCCCTTGATAGCTGTATATCTTTGTGAAATCACCTATCCAGCTGAGCCAGAAATTTGTTGTGTGTAAACTTGAAAGTATAATAACATACATTGTTCTACAGGATTTATCGTGAAGATCAAATCACCTATGATAACGTAAGTGAAAGAATTTTGAAAAATGGCAGAGTACTATACGGATATGAATAATTACTATGGAGTGAGTCCATGACTCACTATTACAAATAACTGCACTATTAGTAACCCAGGGATTCCTTTCTGAAATTTTCTAAATTCTCCATTTCCGTGGTCCCGTATTCCAGGTGTCACGAGGCGAGAAGGATTAGTTTTCCGGTTAAACTACTGCATCTCAATCGCAAGGCATGTTTTGAGTAGGATAGCCCCAAGAACCGAGAAAGAGAGGTTATTTCCTTAAAATATTTTTGCCCACAACTGACGTGCTAGCCTTGCGGCTTCACCCGCCCTAAAATAGGACGGCGCCTCGTGGTTGGACCATGCTCCTTGACGTCCTGACGCTACGCGCCGCGACTTGGCGGCGCGGACGTAAGTTGCTGCCGCTGGCTGACTTCCGGTGGCACGGACGCCGAGTTTCCGCGGGATCGGGCGCTGGTGAGGGACTGTCGAGTGCCGTGAGGCGGGAAGTGGCGAGTGGGAGCTGGACGTTCGGGCGGAGGATGTCCAGGCTGAGGGGGCCGGGGGTGAGGGCAGGCGCGGGGTGTGTGACAGAAGGTAGAGGTGTGAGGGTGTCTAGCCGGGGGTGGGGTCTTGGGCCGGTCTTCGGGGGCCCCTAGGTAAACAGCGCAGTGAGGACCCCTTTTTGAAATCTTTTCCCAGGAGCGGCTCGCGCTGGGGCTACCCCCGGAGCTGCGCGCTTTCACCCTGTTGGTCTCACTCCAGTTCCTAAAAGGTGAGCGACTTTAGAACTGCTGTATTATAAGTGCCTGGGGCTTATCCCTGTACGCCGCTGGCTTTAAATGGCAGCTGTGTTTCTTAATTTTTTTTTTTCCCTTTTCTGGATCTCAGTAATTCGTGTGTGAAATACAGGACTCACCTAAGCTACTTCCACTCCTCTTAACCCACTCACCACCCTCCCTGTCAACGGGATCTTCACGTGTTTGTTGAGTTTTAATTAGCAAGATACGGGTGTTGGTAAATTGGAGGGTGGGGGAGATCTCTCCTAGTGACCTGTGGAAACTAAGTTAGGGAAGTTTAAAACTAACTTTATAGCTCAAGCTCATAAGAGTTAGAACTTTGCCCTGGCCAGTTAGCTCAGTTGGTTAGAGCGTCCTCTGGATACACCAAAGTTGTGGGTTTGATCCCCCGTTAGGGCACATAGAAGAATCAACCAATGATGCATAAATAAGTGGAACAACAAATCTCTCTCAGTCACTCTCACTCTCTCAAAGCAATAAATAGGGGAGAGAATTTTTAAAGGAAAAGGAGGCGGGGAAAGAGTTAGAACTTTTATTTTTCATTCCTCTAGTCCAAGCTTTCATCTAGTGCCCTGGTAGGTGGGCATTCAGACCTTGAACATTGTCAGTGATGAAGAACTCACTGTAACACAAGGCAGCTTATTTTATTCTTGTACCTGTTTTATTGAGTAAAGTTCTTTGGGTAGAAAGTTTTGATATAATGCTTAACTCTTGGTCCAAGTGCTGCATAAGATGAGCACAGAGTAGGAAGTTCACACTTTTTTTTTTAAAATATGCTTTTATTGATTTTTTTAGAGAGAGAGAGAGGATGGGAGAGAGTGAAACATTGATGAGAGAGAGAAACATTCATCTGCTGCGTCTTAGGGGATTGATCCCAAAACCTGGCCGTGTGCCCTGACAGGGAATGGAACCGGCGACCTTTCGGTGCATGGGAGGACACTCAGCCAACTGAGCCACACTGGCCAGGGCCATGCCCTCTTTCATTCATTCGTTTCTTCAGGGAACATTCATTGAGTGTCTTCAATAGGGCAGATATTTCCCGGTACTAGGGGTACTAGTTGAAAGAGTTATTTTCCTGAAAAAGCACATAGTTTTTGTGGAGGGAGATGGGAAGGAGACAGACACGAGGCAGTCACAAAAGTGATAATTACTATAAAAGAGGTTTGTAAACAGGTGCTATAAGAACATAAGATACCCTCCAGTTTAGATTAGTGTTGCCCTTAAATGTGATAACTGGAATTGAAAGCAAGAATTTAGAAGTAACATAGTGCAGAGGACAGTAGGAATCTCTCTTGTTTACAACACAAAATTTCTGTTAATATGGCCTAACCTATTTATTTCTTTATTTGTTAATCCTCACCCAAGGATATTTCCCCCCCCATTGATTTTTAGAGAGAGTAGAAGGGAGGGAGGGATGGGGAGAGAGAGGAGAAGAGAGAGAAAAACATTGATGTGAGAGAGACACATCCCCATTGGTTGCCTCCTGCACACACCCGGACTGAGGTAAAAAATGGAACTTGCTTAGAGAGAGTAGAAGGGAGGGATGGGGGAGAGAGAGGAGAAGAGAGAGAAAAACATTGATGTGAGAGACACACATCCCCATTGGTTGCCTCCTGCACACACCCAGACTGAGGTAAAAAGTGGAACTTGCAACCCAGGTACTTTCCCTTGACTGGGAATCGAACTGGAGACCCTTCGGTGTGTTGGCTAACACTCTAACCAGTCAGGGCAAGGCCAACCTCTTTAGACAACCACACTTTGCTTTTGGATTGTTTCTGTTAATGCAAACAACAATAGAAAACACTTATTGATTTAATAAATTACTATCTACTCATGTAGGTGCTATTTTTATTTCACTTTATAACTGAAGAAACTGAGATTTAGATTAAGTAATTTATACAGGGTTACAAAGCTGGAGAGAATCAGACCTGGGAGACAAATCCAGACAGTTTGACTCAGGATGGTCTCAGCATCATGCTATTTTACCCTCCTGATGGTAATAATAATAACTGACACTAATCACTTACTATGTAGTTCTTTTTTTTTCTTTTTTTAAATATATCTTTATTGATTTCAGAGAGAGGAAAGGAGAGGGAGAGAGATAGAAACGTCAATGATGAGAGAGTCATTGATCGAGCCCGCAACCGGGGCATGTGCCCTAACCAGGAATTGAACCCCGATCGCCTGGATCCCAGGTCAATGCTCAACCGCTGAGCCACTCCCGGCCGGGCGCTATGTAGTTCTTATAACAACTCTATGAGGTAAAAACAATTTTTTTTACAGTTGAGGAAACTGAAGTTTAGAGAGGTTAAGTCACTCAGCCAAGATAACTTACTACTCAATGGTAGAGTTAGGATTTCAACTCAGGCACTCTACCCCCTGTCTGTCTACTTC